TTGAGCAATTTGGTTCCTGTTAAGAAAAAAGATTTTTCTAGCAGAAATATTGACTTGGAATAATGGCATGGCCATCAAGAATTCTGTGAAGGCACAGAAAAGGTTTTGGAAAATTAGGTAAGGAAATTGATAAATTCAGATACCTTATTTTCTTTTCTTATATAGACGGAAAATAATTACACACTGAATATTTCTTTCTTTTGCTCAGAAAACATTTTGTAGTGCCACAGATATTTATATATCTTTTGAATGAATAGATAACATCTCAAATAAACTGTTTTGTGGCAGAGAGGCTTGTATATTTCTCAGTGGCAGCCATGGTTGGTATTTGAGCCAAGACCTATGAGGGAGAAGGTCAGGTGATAAATTGCCACAAAACCAAGAAATATCAGAAAAGGCTAACGTCCAGGAGAGTGACACATTGCACCTTCTCAGGTGAACATCCTCAGCTGACATGAAGTAGAAAGACTATGTTGAATATATTGCTAGGTCAGCTGCTAAGAAAGTTGGTTCACTGTGTCGTAATAGACAATTTTTCTCTCCAGAATCTATCACGCATATCTATATATCTACAATTTGCACATGCTTAGAATATTGCTGCCACATATAGTCCGGTAATCTTGCTATATATTTAAAGATTCTTGATAAAATCCAAAAAAGAATCGGCAATAGAATTGGCATCTCAGCTTCAGTCACTTTTCCAATGCTGTAAAGTTGCTTCTCTGTGTCTTTTCTATAAATACTTAAATAGTAATTGTTCAGAAGAGCTCTTCACTATGATACATAGACTTTATGAATTTAAGCACAGTACTAGACTGGCAGTTAGGTCTCATCAATTTACAGTTGAGTTGGCTAGATGTAACCATAAGTTCTTTGCTAACAGTTTCTTTTCTGACACTTTTCACTTATAGTTTGCTCTGCCAGCTCCATGCTTTCCAACTTAGATCTTTAAAAATTTAAATGCAATTTTAATCATTATTTACTGTCTTCCTGTTTGCTTTTCTATTGTTCTTGCACCTTAGTAATGTTTCTGTTTTGTAATTTTTCACATTCAGTAACCCCTTGTGTCTTAGTGGCTTTACTGCCTTGCTTGGTATAATTTCGATTAAAAAGAATATATATATATACCATATTTCCGTACACTAAGTCTCATTTTTTTCCTGAGAAATGGCCTCAAAAAATCACCTTGCCTCTTAGCACTGAAAGTAAAAGTTGTAGAGAGAAGTTTGCCAACCCTCATAATCTCCAGTCACAAGATACAAGAAATAACAGAATCCAAACATACATGTCTGCAATTATCATACATATGTAATAAATACAGTATATCCCATTAATATATATATATATTGTTTCAACTACTGAAAATAAAAATAGCTGTCACTGCCTCTGTGTACAAACATACTGCATTTATTGCGTTCCCTGTATTACTAAATTAAGTAGTGTTAATTACTGTAATAATGGATAGTCAATAATACATTCATACAGAAATAGTGAAACAGTGGAAGTGATGATGCAAAAGCAACACACCATTTACACTCTTGAACGCAGCCTTGAAACATTAGCTGGGAGTTGGATGCAAATATGCTGTGTGTTGAGATGCCTCATGGTTTGTGGTAACAAGTATGAGTTGTTTCTGATGTGAATAAGTATAACATCATGCTAAACTATTGAAAAACAAATTAATAATAAACACAAATGTTAATAGATTCAAAATGGGATAATTGTTTGTGGTAGAATGAGAAATGACACCTTAGATTTGGCAACTTGGACTTGCGAGTACAGTAAGCAAATAAATCCTCAAATCTTTTTTTTTCTTCAAAAAAGTACCTAGCTAATTATAGTGTGCGTCTTACTATTTGTAGCATTTTCACATACGGGAAAATATGGTACATATAGTTAAAACTAATATCTACACTTATAAATTATGCATAAAAATATAGTATATGAAAACAGGATGACTGAAAGAGGAAGGAAGGTGTCCTGGAAGAAACTTTGTATCCTTTGATAAAATTCTTCTCAGAAGAAATAAATATAAAATAAATTTATATATATAAATTTAAATATATTGTGAAAGATCCTGCATCATACCTTGATGATCTAATTTGATAATTTGATTTGATTTTTGCTGTGAAACAGTAGTTATCAAGCTAATCTTACAGACTATAGTGATATTAATCATTACAGGGTTTATCATAGTTGCAAGCCTCTATCAAACCAAGCAATATAAATATTTTATATGTGAGGATTACCATGGCAAACTATTTTTCAAATAGCTACCTAAATTAATAGTTAATACTTATATTAATAATTAATACTTATGCCAAAGTATACTTAGTTCAGTTAAAAAATAGATACTGGACTGATCTAAGAATTTGTTCTATTTTTGCTGAGAGATGGCATTAGGAGTGTTTAGTTTTGACTACATGCAAAAATATTGCTCTTGATTGCCTTGTGATAGTTGTCTTATCAACATGCATTTTTTTAATTGTTATTACTGAGTTATTTATTTTTATTGATTTTAATATTGAAGGTGGAAGAACATGCAACATTTTTGAGATATACTTATTTTAAGAAAGGTAAAAAATGCAGCTTAATGATTAATGTCTTGAAATTTTTTGCATTAACTTGGTTATATTAGACATTTTAATGTGTACATTGCACATATTTTAAATGAAAAGAACTGAATGAAGTGTGTTTAAATATTTTGGCTGTATTTAAACTGTGATAGCTGATGAAAACAATGCAGAATGCAAGAGATTGTGGGACAAGTGGACTAAACAAATCCCAAAGACCAAAACTGATATTGTGTATATGGTGGAAGTGGAGGGAAAAACATCTATCATGAGCTTCTTCCAGAAAAATTTAAAAAAAGTAATTTGAATAACTTTTCTTTTATATTCACTGCCTATTCAGGAGATGGGCAATCATGATTCTCTATAATTTTCAATCCTTTGTAATTCTAAGGAATGTCTGTCCTCTTACCATTCCTCCTATTCTTTGTTCTGCTATTTATGCATGCTCATTATGTAGGTTATTCAATGTTGCCTTAAGACCTGTGAGTGTCAAATTTTCCAAGCCCTAATTGTAGCCTTATGTCAGAGTAAGATTAGTTTAGTTGAAAAAAAAAAATACTGGATTGATCTAAATATATTGGACTGATATCATTGTGTGTCTCAGAAATTTCAACTTTCTCTCTCTGATTCCAAGTGTCTCTTTTGATCCCATTTTCCTTAAAACTTTCTTGTTGATCACATGCTCTATCAATGTTATTCTCAACATTCTTCAGTAGAACCACATTTCTATTGCCTACATCTATATAGAAATTGTTGCACCCTTACTACTGTATAGGTGGATTAATATCACATAACAATTCAGCACTCTTTGACAAGTACTACTACTTCTTTCTTTTTATGTGCCATGTCCTTTCAGGATGTAGACGATCATGGCTCTTTACCTCCGTCTATTCCTTACAGCTCTCAACAAGTTCCTTCCCTCTGCTATTTCCCCCAGACCACGTTCTGTCATCCACCTGCTGAAGCCTCCCAGGAATGTCATATGCTGGTCTCTCTTTCCCTCTATTCGACCTGTGAGTATCAGATTCTCAAGGCCCTCCTTCCTCATTATGTGTCCCAGAAACTTCAGCTGCCTCTTTCTGATGTTAAGCATGAGCCTCATCCTTGTCTGCATCCTCCCCAAGACCTCATCCTTGCACACACACTCGGTCCTCAGCATCCTTCTGTAGAGCCACATCTCTGTCACCTCAAGTCTGTTCTTCATCCTTGAGGAAATCGTCCAGCATTCACTTCCATTAAGAAGGACAGATGTCATGTAACAGCTCAGTAGACAAAATACTGGTAGTAGTTGATGATAAGTGTTTATTGAACTGAAAGAAATACTAATCTATAAAGGTGTACCTTCTTTAGACCTTCATTAGACCCTATTGACAGGTGTAACAAAACCACAAACAGCTTTACCAAATAGCACAAACCATAACACTTGAATACTTCCAGTATCAGAAAAAGCAAAAATGTGTAGCACCTGTAAATTGCAAAGAAAATAATGATATAACCAAGCAGTTAACTTTCCACATGATCAAAAAAAAAAAGTTTGGAAGGAAATTCCCATCAGTGTTTGAAATGACATTTACAGGACTTGAGAAGTGTCAAGCCAACATGGTTGTAACTGACATGGAGTGGAAGAGACCAAACAAAACTGATTGGGTAGGAAATTTACAACTGGTACTCTTATCTATCAGGAATATTGTAAAAGATGACTTGGGCTGTACACCAGCTAATATGGTTTTTGGCACATCATTAAACTTACCTGGTTAATATCATAAAGACACATTAGAGATTTTATCCACAACATTTGTACAGGACTTAAAAAACAGAATGTCAGCATTAATCTTTACACCTAAATGGAAAACTAACAAAAATATACCAACCATGTGATCAAATCTGCAAATATATATTTATAAGAAATGATGGTGTAAAAAACATTGAGTCCAAAAAACATAGGCCCATACCAAGTCATCAAGATTAAATCAGCTTATGTCGATAAGAAATTCTTGCAACAAACTGAAAAGTGTGATCAAACCTACTCAAAAGATGGATGAACTAAACATTCTGTAAAGCAGATGACACTACAACAAAAACAACAACAAAGGGAAGACAAGTACACTGGCCACAACATTACAAAATATACTTTAGATATTTAGACATTATTTTTACATATCACTAGAAATAAATTTCTAATTATCTGAAGAGGGATCTTTGTTCTATCCTTAACAAAATACATAAATAAAAAATTAATTATACGGTCACTTTGCTGTTTCCATAAAAAAAATAAATAAAAATTAATTATAATGTCAAAAATTTAATTTGTTAATGGTTCATAATTATTTACTCAGAGTTATAACTCCCCTACAAGTTCATTACAAACTCTGCAAAATATATAAAAAATGGTGACTAAAAGAACTAAAGGATTCATATATACCAATGTTAATGTGTATTTGCATATGGAACTTTAGATATGTTATGTGTCTTTGTAGGTATATTGTGGATAGATGTGTTTTGCATGTTTGCATGTGACACTTTAGATATGTTATGTGCCTTTGTAGGTATATTGTGGATAGATATGTTTTGCATGTTTGCCTGTGACACTTTAGATATGTTATGTGCCTTTGTAGGTATATTGTGGATAGATCTGTTTTGCATGTTTGCATGTGACACTTTAGATATGTTATGTGCCTTTGTAGGTATATTGTGGATAGATGTGTTTCGCATGTTTGCCTGTGACACTTTAGATATGTTATGTGCCTTTGTAGGTATATTGTGGATAGATATGTTTTGCATGTTTGCATGTGACACTTTAGATATGTTATGTGCCTTTGTAGGTATATTGTGGATAGATATGTTTTGCATGTTTGCATGTGACACTTTAGATATGTTATGTGCCTTTGTAGGTATATTGTTGTTAGATCTGTTTTGCATGTTTGCATGTGACACTTTAGATATGTTATGTGCCTTTGTAGGTATATTGTGGATAGATATGTTTTGCATGTTTGCATGTGACACTTTAGATATGTTATGTGCCTTTGTAGGTATATTGTGGATAGATATGTTTTGCATGTTTGCATGTGACACTTTAGATATGTTATGTGCCTTTGTAGGTATATTGTGGATAGATCTGTTTTGCATGTTTGCATGTGACACTTTTAGATATGTTATGTGCCTTTGTGGGTATATTGTGGATAGATGTGTTTTTCATGTTTGCCTGTGACACTTTAGATATGTTATGTGCCTTTGTAGGTATATTGTGGATAGATATGTTTTGCATGTTTGCATGTGACACTTTAGATATGTTATGTGCCTTTGTAGGTATATTGTGGATAGATATGGTTTGCATGTTTGCATGTGACACTTTAGATATGTTATGTGCCTTTGTAGGTATATTGTTGTTAGATCTGTTTTGCATGTTTGCATGTGACACTTTAGATATGTTATGTGCCTTTGTAGGTATATTGTGGATAGATCTGTTTTGCATGTTTGCATGTGACACTTTAGATATGTTATGTGCCTTTGTAGGTATATTGTGGATAGATCTGTTTTGCATGTTTGCATGTGACACTTTAGATATGTTAAATGCTAATGTATGTATGATAGTAGTTCCAAAACTTTTGAGCCCAACATTCTTAATGTTATAGCATTTTTATTTTTCAAAAGGCATTGACAGGTCATCCTGGCAGCGATTAATCTAAAATAGTTTTCCCTGACAACACTCAGCAGACCAAAGGTTTGATCACTGCATATGAAGAGAAGTCCTCATTAGCATGTAATCTAAGATTTATCACAATGCATTCTGTTCCACAGTCAAAAATTCAATTATATTGTGATTCTTCATTTTTAGATCCTGATTATCATCAGTCAATATCAGTTGTTTCAATTCTTTTACTGCTTCTGAAATATGGTAATGGTAAGATTAGCTGTTTCCATATGAGGAAACATTTAGCATTCATTGACCGAACAGTTAGCATTATTGTCAGTTGAAATTTATGATTGCTTATAGCCATATCACACTGAAATATCAGTTTTTGCAGGATTCCCAAAGTTAAACAATGTTGAGCACAGTCAGTAGGTGGGTGACTATTTGGGAATACCAGATGCAGCAAGTTTGGATGTACAGAGGGTGTAATGGATAATGGCTTGCAATTGTTAATCAAAGAACTGAGTTCCATTTCACAAGGAAAGAGGGTTTAGGAAATTTGATACTCAGGACAGATTGAAGTCAAGAGGGACAGAGTAAAACAATGCATGATCAATGTAGAGAGCCTGAACAAATGGATGGCAGAGCAAAGTTTAAGAGAGATCAGAAAAAAAATCTTTGTTTTTTTTAAGCATTTCACGCCAAGCAAGATAGGAGGGCCACTAGCCCACAAGGGGTTACAGGGAGCAAGAGTAAAGAGACATGATTGAGGAAATGATAAAGCAAAGGATGGGGAATTAGATCAAGACATCAGAAGATGTTGATTGACATTACATTTGAACATTTGAAGACTATAACAGTCAGTAAAGCAAGTAAGAGGAAGGAAGTTCCACAGATGGGAAGTACGAAACATGAAACTATTAGAGTAGAAGAGACGGCTACATTTAACCATTTCAACAGTGAAAGGTTAAGACTGAGATGTCAACTTAGTAACATGCTTAAATTCATACAGTTTGGGAACCAGCAAAAATAGCTTGTTGGTGAGGACAGAAAATTATGGAAAACTATCACCAGAAGGGACATGACATATAGAAGAATATGAAATGTCAAGTGTTTGATTATGTCATTATGTTCTCTTTGAGTTACAGGTGATGTCCATTTTAGATATTGCTACTGTTGAAAGTCTTCAAGTAATGTGGGGTTTTGCCATTTGGGAAAATTCTTTGTGATTCTGTAGCACTAATCCATGAGATCTCATGAACGATGGTCCTCTCTAAAGCATACATAGTTTATTTTCTTAAAATCATGAAAATTTTCAAATTTTATGAAAATAATATATACATACTCTTCAATAATAAGCATTGAAGAAAGCTGTATTTATTGTGTTCCCTCATGTCAACTATATAAAAAACAAAAATATACAAAGAATATTTTTGACATCCACTTATTGTATAATATAAGGAGCATATGTAGATATTTACTATCTTTCTTGGCAGCTAGGACTCATCATTTTACTGTTGAAGTTGGTAAGTTCTATTCTAATAGTTTCTTCTTTCACACTTCTTACCTGTTGAACTCTCTTCCAGCACCAAGCTTTCTTGTCAATTACAATCTTCAAAGATTCAACTGCAACATCATATGCCATCTTCTGTCAACTTGAATCCTGTTCTTTTTTACTGTCTTTTCTCCTCAGTAATGTTTACTCAGTTTCCCTTTATTCTCAGCAACCCCTTGCATTTTAGTGGCTTTGTCACCTTGTTTGGGGTGAAATGATTAGCACAAACACACACACACACACACACACACACACACACACACACACAAACAAACAAACACGCATATATATATATATGTTTGGTTGGATTGATGTGAGTTTGTGACCCTGGGTTTCATGCTTTTGCGATCGTCAGACAACCAATACTAATTATATATATATATATATTTATATTTATATATATATATTTATATATATATATATATATATATATTTATATATATATATTTATATATATATATTTATATATATATTTATATATATATAAATTTATACATATATATTTATATATATTTTTATATTTATATATATATATATATATATATTTATCTACACACACATACGCATATATATATATATATATATATATATATATATATATATATATATAAAAAAAATGAAATCCCAAAGCCAGGAACAACCTACCTAGGTCTCACCTAAATGGATCTTTAGGTTAAGCTAGCTTACCCTGAAGATCTGTATAGGTGAAACCTAGGTAGGTTGTTCCTGGCTCTTTGGGATTTCATTTCATTTATCCCTGCTCTACTTAGTGTATTGAGAACTCTATGTTTTAGCTTTATTACTCGCTTGTTTTTTTTTATTTGGACCAAAAACTTAAGGCACTGGCCAATTTACTTCACCATATTTGGATGTTTCTAGTTCTTTCTTTTTTTTCCAGTTTTTTTTACCCAGGTACCAATTTGTTTTGATAGACTTACAAGTTGTGCTATCTGAGTTTTTTTCCAACCAAGTATTATTACTATAATATATATATATATATATATATATATATATATATATATATATATATATGTGTGTGTGAAAAATGTGTGTATATAAATATAAATAAATATATATATATATATAATTATTTATATTATTTTAAACATAGATAGATAGATATCATAAGAAAGCAATTAATAATACAAATCAATAATTTAGAATCAGTGTAAAAAAGTTCATATGCAAGACTTTTGGAATTCATTTTGTATGTGAGGGCACACATATAGTTCTGTGTGTACATGTGGAGGTGGATGCATATATGTTTGTATACATATGGATTTGTTCACATCTGTTTACCAGTGCATATGCACATTTCAGTGTACAAATAAGCACAGGTGGGCACCTGTGCAAGATTTTATTGATCATGACTTCATTACTCTGTCACTGATTATCTTACTGATAAATCAATTATTTGATTCTTCTGTCACTTCAGCTTCAGTTCTCTCGGGTTTGCCAGTTCTTTAAATTACCATTCTTTCTTCAATTAGGCTATTATGCAAGTCCCAGTAAAAAAAATACCAATGTTATTTTGCCGTTCTTGGTAAAATAAACACCAAAGCTCTTTGGCCAATCCCAAGTCTATTTTGCTGGTCCCAGTAAAATTGACACCAAGACTGCTTTGCCAGTCCGAGTAAAATAGACACTGAGGCTATTTTGCCTTTAAATATAAATAGTGTTTTAGAACTAAGAATATTCATCAGTGCAGCAGCTGTGTGAACTGTGTAGGCAGGACTTGAACAACATAGATTCTGTGGTCTCTGATTGTTGTCTCCAGTGAGTGCACCTGAAGTGTATTGGCAAGTGAACCATGCCCAAGGGCAAGTTTGGGACTTACAGAGACTGTGCTTAAACTATTCAGAGACTTCTATATTTCTTTTAATAATTGACGATGAATAAATTATTTTAACATGTGTTTTAACAACTGATGGTTGAAAAGATTTTAAATTATCTTAACAATTGATGGTGGGATAAATAAACTTCTGTATTAAATTTGTGTGTTGTTATTTTTAACATTACCTGTCCTCAGATTAAAAAATATTTACCAGCAAAATAGCCTGTGGTCTATTTTACTGAGACCAGTAAAATAAGCATTAAAAGCATGTTTCTCTATTTTACTGGGACTGGCAAAATATCCTTTTCTTTTTTAGTCTCATATATATACTTTCATAACTACAAAATTTTGTAACAAAGATGTAGTGAAACTGATTTCTGAATAGGATAAGTTGATGGTAGATAAATATTGTACTTGTGTATAATATAAAGAACATTTTGAATTGCTAGGTAACTGTGATATTTGTTTTTACATTGAGGTCCACCCTGTAAAAGGCCCAGGGGCCACTTGATGTAGAAGGTTACAGAGTAAAAGGCACAGTTAATGCAGATAGGTGAGGAAGATAACAGTTAAGCCTAGAATTGAATAGATTAAGACTGTAGTTATCAGGGAAACACCACCAAACATTGGTTCATGGGAAGAAGTTGTTTGAGTGGAAGTTGTTTGTTATAAATTTGGTTTGCTACTCGCCAATGGAATAACGAACTTGGAAGTAACAATAGTCAGTGGGAGGCTTGCCACATCCCATCTTGTAGGGTGGAAAATAATTGGGAAGGATATTAGAATAATTCGGAATATATACTGGCAGAAAACTGCTGTATTCGGATAGAAAGTCAGTTCAGTAAATGTACACAAATAGAAAGGGGTGTAAGACAAGGATGTGTCTTCTCACCAGACTTATTCAACCTATACAGTGAGGTGATTCTGAAAGAATTAGATGTCCTACCAGGACTGATTATTGTTGGTCACAATCTTAACAACATAAGATATGCAGATGATACCATGTTGATAGCAGATTGGTTTAGTTTGGTTTGGTTTGGTTTGTTAAACAAACCAAACGGTTTAGTTAAACAAACCAAAACCAATTTGCTATCAATGGGTTTATGGGTCATTTAATGCCAAAATTTAATTTTTTCTTTGGCAATTTTTTTAAGCTATTAAAATCTATTGCTGGAAAATGTATTTTTATGCTTTCATAGTGTTTTAACCCCAGTTTGAATGTTAACTATTTGCCTATAGCTGGGACCCTAACAGATGCTACCACCCTGGATCAGAGTGGACCTGGGAACAATAGAAATTAAGAAGTGGTTCCATACTCTTCAAAATCTCCTGATCATAGAACTTGCCAAATGTAGTCTATCATCATACCCAGTATGTGTTGTACATGTTGATAGCAGATATAGAAAGAAAACTACAAGACCTTTTACAGAAGGTAGTGAAGAAAAGGCAAGAAGAAAGGACTAAACGTTAATTGCAAGAAGAAAGACTGCATAGTTGTTAGCAAAAGGAATAGCCTATCAT